GCTACCAACACATGTAGGGGGCCATATGCATATTTTCGCCCTCGGAGATTGGCGAATTTAAAGGGAATTCATTCGTATTAATACCAACGATTGTCGATACAAAAATGTGGAAAACGCGCATTATTATGTTCGCATATACAATGTTACAAGGGATATGAGCATGTGTTGTGATGATGAGAGTACCCGTTTGGGACTGTGATGATAGCGACAACTTGTTCACTATCCCTTGTCCTACAAAATAACACATTTTCCGAGATTAATGAGAATCGACTTTCAACGTAACGATGGCTATGAACATGTGTTGTGATGATGAGAGTACCCGTTTAGGACTGCTGTGATGATAGCGACAACTTGTTCACTATCATTGACACATATATCTTCACTCAGTCGGCCAGCTCGAGCCCAACGAACGTTGAATAGTGCTTCCTCGGGAGGTAAGAGAGTACGTGGAGTAATGAATGCCAGTGCGGCCCTGAGAGCCCCTGCTAGTTCGAAGGTGAGCTATTGAATCCACTTGAGGTTGTCATTGTTGTTTGTAGACTCGTATGGAGCAGCCGATTGATGGTGTTGCGCTTGAGGAGTCTGTGGAGGGAAGGCGTGATTCAGGTTAGTTAGTTGAGGAATATATATTGGCATTTCATCGGTGATGTGAAAAACACTAGTGAAAAACGTATTCGCATTTCATCTCGCGAAAAACGCGAGGAGTGAATACGTGATATGGGGTGATTCGTCCGGCGAAGTGTCTTCAACTCGCTTCATATCGCGTTTTTCAAATGGAGTTCACGTAAAACTCCAGTAATGAGCTTCACCCGTTTTACGTGGAGTGGTGTAAAACTACGTGAAAAACCCGATATTCGCGGTGATATGCAGTAGTAGTGAAATATGTTCTTCACTAGTGTTTTTCATATCACTCGGGTGAAACTCCAATGTAAATGATAATAAACCAATACTTTGTTAAAACTCTGAACGGTTGCAACTCCTCTGAAGGTCTGCGAGGGCGATCACAATAATGTTACTCACAGAGTTCATGTGAGCGGATTATCGTAGTTATACGCGTTTTCCGTGAAGTGGTCGTGAAATATATTTTTCACCAGTGTTTTTCATATCACTAGGGCCGCCCGTGAAACTCCATTACCTGATAATAGGTCATCCGACAGTGCAGCCGGACACTGCAGGGGAGCGTACAGCACCAGAGGCGGCCGAGGAAGGAGTTCCAGCAGTCGTTCCGCGGCGACAGCCAAGGGTGAGTAAAAATGCCCGTGCTGGGAATCGAACTAGGGACCTCCTCATATGTTGGTTTTTTAGTACAAGGCTCGGCGTGATCCACAAGATGCATGAGTTTACAGTAAGACGAGTGCATGTGGGAGATTTTGTCGCGCGCCACGAAATTATTGCCTCGGTTTTGAATTTTTGTTTCTCATCAGATAATCGTCCGAGTCGGATTCAGAACGATTCTTTATAGATCGTCTTTTGATCATCATAATCATAATCGTCGTTGCCATGTTGTTAACGCTGATATCAGTTGTTAGTTGTGTTGCTGGGAATACGCAGAGATGATATACACATATATTGGAGATTCACCCGTTTTACGTGAAGCGGCGTAAAACTCCGTGAAAAACGCGATATTTGCGCTTTGCAATAGTCGTGAAATATGTTTTCTGCTAGTGTTTCTCGCATCACGGGTAAAACTCCAATATTATAAGAATTTAATGGAGTTTCACCCGTGATACGTGAGAGTGGCGTCATAATACTCTGTTAAAAACCTGATGTTCGCGGTGATATGCAGTAGTCGTGAAACATGTTTTTCACTAGTGTTTTGCAAGTCACTAGGGTGAAACTCCGATGGATTGCGCACATATATATATGTTATTTCATCCCGCCGGGAGAGTGGTTGGCAGGTTGTAGATGTGGAATATTTCACGCACGATTATGTCGACTTAGCATGGAAATATCGTATTAATAGCTGGTTATGGTTTCTTCAATACCTCCTCATTTTCCTGCATTCTTGGGGAGCGCGAAGTTGAACTTATGCGTAACATGGATAGGATTGGAATTTTACAAACATGGTGTAAGATGCTATTGCATCATCATTGTCGCTGTCCCAAGCCCCCGTAGAACACAATATGTCTCTCTAGGCTGAAGGAATTCCCGCAGCTGAGCTTATGATGAAGATAGTCTGCGTCGTCGGCTAAGTATGAATAGGAAAGCATTTTCGTGCAGTTATATCCAGTGTAGTGTTATCTCAATGGGCAAGGACCTAATCTGTATCTTACGCTGTTGAACCTAAGATACGCTGTTCATTGGTGTAGCTACTACCTCTTCAATGGTGTCATCTCGTTTGGTATTCCTCCTATCACTTCTCATCATTAATTCTCCCCTGTGTGACACGACCAGTTTGAGGACGCGTGTCATCAACGTGAGCAACTGAACAAAATGCTCGACGGAATTACATTGTATGTTTTTCGTTGTAGTTCCTGGATGCGGCCGTTGACGAGATCAACGCGGTGGCTCTTGTGGAAGAAACCTCTCATGGGGAACAGCGAGCGATCTCGCGGAAAACTGGTATAAAACAATCGCTTCGCTCCGCTTAGCTTGCCAATGACATTTGTTGTGATACATTTGATTGCTCAGAGTGATAGGAGTTATGTATTTTCCTTCGCGTAGAGTGGGAATCACTTCTGAGCCATGATTCACACAGCAGTAGAGTTTCTCCCAGTAGCAAACATAGCAAGACTCAGTAGCTACCTAAACGTCAAGCTAGAGAACTTTGTGCAAGTGTCCCCGGACAATGCGTAAAGTCGTACGACTTTTCGATGTTTTCACTTGGCAGGTAGAGTCTTGTTGGCCTTCTCACTCGGGATTGGTATCTCATTGCTGCTGATGATCGTCGCTCTTGCCCTTCAACGTAAAGTGTATCAGGACGCTCATAGAGCAGCAGCGATGGAGGTTCCGGTTGCTCCTAAGCGAGGTGAATTGCCGTGAAACCGAGGTAGATTTTCTCGACAGCTCTATAGATACCATCCTTGAGCAGGCTTCGCATGATGAGAGTGCCATTGAATCTGCATGATGCAGTTGATTCGTCGTCGGTGATGATGTGAAATACGCGGAGTTGCGCAAGTGTTTCAACTTCAGTGTTCTCGTGAGATCTAAAGCCAACATATCACGAACTAGACATCTTTATTGGCGCGCGGCTTTCGAAATGCCATTTTAAAATTGCAATATGTGTTCGGTAAGGAACTTCGCATGTGGGAGGACGTGTGATGCGTTTGGAAACCCTGAGCATTCGGGCAAATCAAGTTCAGGAATCCTAAGAAACTAGGCACTCTTTAAACTGCGAACCAAACAGTTATGCATATTTAGATTTTCGAGATGGCTTTCTCCAATTTGAGGGTAATACGACTATAGACTACGGAAAGCGTTGGTGTCAGTCGATCCACGTTGTTATCAAGTCGATGTTACTCAAAGTTGACTTTCGAACTCTCGGAAATTGAAGATACCGAAAATATCACTTTGTTGCTCCTGGTCGATCTCATAATTAACCCAACAACGTCGTCTTATTGATGGTATTGACGATGACAATGGGGAAAGAACT